TAGAAAACACAGGTGGTAACTGGGCAAACCTGTCAGCACCAGGGCCTGGGGTAGCCATCCTGGACTTGTGTGGCTCTGTGACCCTGCCCTTCCTGGGTAGCTTTATTTGGGCATTTAGGAACCTGGAGGTGGCGGGTAACAGCAGACTCTATGGTTAATATTGGTGGCATCTGGTGTCTGGGGATTCAGTGCCTGGTACAACTGTACACGAAAGAGATTTAACTGCCAGGAATTGCCTAAACCACTGCTGTGCATGGAAAGAAACAGAATGACCCAATAGCCCAGCCCAGAGTCACCACAGCAAGAAACCAAGGGACCCATGACTGGGGTCAGGCATCAGAGATAAGGTCTCCCGCTGCCTGGCTCCAGGGGACTCCTGCCTCCAAGGGATGCGAAGGACGTCGTGTGCGCAGGGGAAGGAGGTGCTCAGCGTGGCATCTGATCACTGCTTAACCAAGGGCAGCTGTGATCATTGTGACCAAGCACACTGTCCTCAGTGGGGGACTTCGGATTTAATAAGCAGCACCCTCCGCTTACAGAAAGCAACAGTGTTGCGATGGGTCTGGGACAAACTGGAGTACTCAGTGGACACAGCTCTCACTGCTGGAACCCACAGTGTCCTTCGTGCGAAGAGGGAGGACAGGAGAGGGACAATGACAGCCTTGTCACAAAGGAGTGGCATTCCACCCAGCAAGCCAGGACATGCACTCAGAACGAGAAGCCGCGGTGTGCGGAGCCACGCTCCTGGTGTGTGAGCCGTGTCTACGCCAGGCTGCGTGTGCAGGGACAGGGAGCTAACAGGGCCGAACCAAGATGTTGGGGAGGTGCTTGGGGGGGTGGGGGGACACGGTGCGAACTCTACCAAAATCGGGAATTTACTTTGACTTAGCCAAAACCCTTAGTGTGAGGAATATGAGACTGTAAAGTTCAGAGTCTGCAGTTCTGGAACACCACGGACATCGCATGTTGTAGAATCAGGAGCTGATGTTTTGGGGCTCTCAGAAGATGGATACAGGGAAATATACAGACACAGACAGACAGACAGACAGACAGGCGTGAACCGCTTTGCAGCTCAGGAGCTGCCCCTTAGCTGTCCCCCCTCGGCCTGCTGGTAAAGATTGGGCTCCAGGAGGACAAAGGAAGGTCCTCCTAACTGGAGAGGGGTGTTTGCACCGAGAGAACACTGAGCTTGGCTGACGACACCGGATGGCACCAGGACCAGGCCGGCGGAGAGCCAGCTCATGAAAAATCTCAGCCCTGCTAGAGGTCGGTGGGGCTCCCAGCCCAATGGTGGGGTTCGGGCCCTGGACTTCCTGGGTCTCTTCCTCCCCAGCTGGGATCTGGACAGGTCCCAGTGGCTGGTGACGACCCCGTAAAGCCACCACCAACTGCACAGCCTCCTCCCCTTCTCGACAGTATTTATCCTAACTTTTCTTCAGAGACAGAGCACATGTTCCTTTGGTGAACGGTTCCCCCTGCTTCGCCCCCCTTCACCTGTTACGCCCTCTGCCTCATGCCTCTCACTCTGAGGCTGGGGTTCCAGAACATCTTTTCCACCAGACTAAACTGTACCTTGTTTTTTCTTTAGACAGGGTCTCACTATGTATGTAGTCAAGGCTGGCCTTGGACCCTCTACCTAGCCCAGGTTGGCTTAGAACTCTGCATCCTCCTGCCTCAGCCTCTCCAGTTCTGGGGCTACAGGCAGGCTCGTGACATCTGAGCTGATGTAGGCTGAACTTAATTCTTCCAAAGTGCCGAAAACATCGCAGAGGAACTGAACTGGTGGGTGGCACTGAAGACCAGTGTCTCTGGAAGAGAGCTGCACCTCGGGGGTCCTGAGAGGGAAGAGCTGTGTATTTGGGGTAAGGAAGCACTGGGCATTCCCAAGTCATCACTGTCCAGGGAGCTGGACTCCAGCATGCGGATGCCTCTGGTCTAGAGATGGCTGTCTCAGGTCTCCTCCGATGATCTGTGCCGCGGTGACCTCCCCACCTCTTTCTCCTGTGTGGGGTACTGGGGGCTGACCCCCGGAAACACCCAGCTGCATCCCAGAGTCCCGCCAAGCTGCCCAGGCTGGGCTGGCATTTGCAATCCTCCTGCTTCAGCCTCCTGAGGAGCCAGAATTCCAGGCTAGTCCCACCCAGCCGCCGACTTGGGTCCCTCAGAAACGCGCTGGGTGCAGCCGTGGAAGAACACGCGGGGAGATCCCCGCCTACTGCTGCGCGTGCCTCCACGCCCACTCGGGGCACGCCCCACGGGCCTCGGCGCCCTGCCCGCCCCTGCGCGTGCCGGGTCTGATTGGCCCGCGGCCAGGGCTCATTAGCATACTGTACCCTGACCCTGAGCAGGCACCGTGTCTGCGCAGAGCAGGACCAGAGTCTGCGGGACCTGCGGCTCCAGCCAGCCGGTGACCTCGCGCCGTCTGCATCTGGCTGAGCCGTCGGAAGGTAGGGACCGGCCTGGGCTCGGGGAAGGTCGCGCAGGGTGGGACTCTCTCTGGCCACCTGCTGCAGTAGTGGTGGGAACCGCCTGCACCGAGCTGAGGTGCTGCAGGGAAGTCTTGACAGATCCAAGTTAGGGAGCTGGGCAAGGCCGAAGCCGGCTACATAGTCCCAGCGCTCAGGAGGCTGAGGCAGGAGGGTCGCTGCGCCTTGGTCAGCCTGAATTGCATAGCAAGACCTTGTCTTAAAAAAACAAAAAACAGAAACGTTTTCTTTTTATCCTGGAGAAAGACCGAGTTCCTTTAAGGGTTCCCTTAAAGGTTGTAAAACAGAGGTGGGTTTTTTGTTTGTTTGTTTTGTATTGTTTTTTGTTTTCCGTGTGTTTTCTTTTTTTCTATGTTCTTAATCTTTGGAGAAATGTTAAATAATGCTCGTTCATTTGATGTTTTTTTAATCAGAAAAAAACCTACAAAAACACCATGATTTTCCTGCAGTAAGACCTCCCCCTTAATTTAAAAGGGAAGTATATATGTATGGCCTCAGCTATAAATGATGCTTTTTATTTTTGCAAATATAAGTGTCATTTTCTAAAGTTTAAAAAAAATCTATTTGTGTGTGCATGTGTATGTTCCAGGGATTAAACTCAGGACCTCATCCATGCATATTACCACTGAGTTACACCCCCGGCCTTCAAAATAAATATATTCCAGTTAGTGGTGACAAAATCTGGGCCATCAGAGTTACTATCGTTACTATTCAGTGAGGTAGGGACTCGAACCTGATGCTGGATATTTATGTCTTTTACATGAGGAAGACGTCTTGGAGCCAAGCGGGGTAGGGGTTTATGCCTGCAATCCCACCTCTTCTGGAGTCTGGTGGGATCGAAAGTTCCAGGTTAGCTTGGGTCCTGTGTGGGGACCTTGCCTCAAAAACCAAAAATGGGGAGGAGGCGGGGACATAGCTCAGCCTCGCAGTGCACAGCGCCTGCCTGGCAAATGCAAGGCCATGAGTTTGATTCCTAGCACTGCGGAAAACAAGCAAGCAAGGAAACGAACCCCCCTGGGGGTTTAATCTTGAGAGCGTGTCTGGGGGGGAGCAGGGTCTCCTGTGCCCTGAGTGTGGAGGTGTGGGGAGGCGCAGAGAGGGAAGGGTTCAGCAAATCGTGTCCCTCGAAGGCCGAGACTCCGTCCTGGTCAGTGAGGAGGAAGTCTTAGGACTAAGGGGGTGAATGACACAGAGCAGCCATGGGGACTCGCTGGAGCGAGTGTTGAGTTTACTGCTGAGCAGCTGGGTGTCACGTGCACACACCCACAAATGGAAGGAATGGAACACCCGTGAACATGTCTGACTTCTTTGTTTTTAACGGTACCGAGCGCTGGACCCAGGGATGCCTCACCATGAGGCTACATCCTTAGCTCTTCTTAGTTTTTGTTTTGAGACAGGTCTAGCTGAGTGGCCCAGGCCGGTGTCCAAGTGCTAGTCATTCTGCACCAACCTCCTGGGACTGCAGGCTGGGATACAGGCCCGAGCCACCAGGCCTGGCTCCAGGGTCCTCTTTGTATCTTATTAATAAGCACAGTTTGTCTGCAAAATATTCAGTTTTTCAATCAGAGAAATATTTTAAATCTTTCCTTTCTTCCCTTCCTTCCGTCTCCCCCACTTCCTCCCTCCTAAATCCTCCTCAATCATTATAGTTAAAAGTTGGAATAAATGAATGCGTCTTGATCATTTTAATGTCATTTACATAATGTAATTTAATCAAATAAATGAGACAGGATGTTCTTGAGAGTGGGGCAGGTGGGGAAAGGCAATTTTTAAAGTCCAGACCGATCGTAAAGGAGGCTTTGGGGGAAACGGAAGGTGATGAAGCCCTGGCTTAAAGCCGCTCTCAAGTGTGCAGGTCCAGCCCCTGCCCCGTGGACACACATCTGGCTGTCCACTGTTTGTCACAGCTGTGCTGGGGGCCAGCTGGGCAGGTGTGGGGATAGCCCAGGACGTGCTCACCGCCCTCCGATGTGCAAGATTCCCCCGACAAAGACCTGCCCCGTCCGAAATGCCAGTGGTGCTGAGATGAAGCGATCCTGGTCCAGAAAAACACGACCCCATAGGGACTCGTTTGATGGTATCTGGAAGCACAGGATTCGCCGAGACCCCAATGAACCCCTGTGGCGCTGCAGAGGGACAGATACCTAGATCCACCCGATGTGGTGTCCCCCTGGAAACTTGGACCACATTAGCTAATTCACCAAGACATTCTTTGAGGAACAAGTCCAAGCCAAGTCGTCTTCTCCTGAAGACGCAGGTCCCACCCATTGGCCACAGATAACAGCAGTTTCGAGGTAGGCGTTCCTGTCCCGGGGACAGCAGAGACAGGCGCAGACCTGGGGCGGTGGCGGTCTCACTGCCCCCTCTCCTCCCCGGCTGCCTCCCCGGCCCCGGCTCTGTTAAAGGTCCGGCACTTGCAGCAATGTCCGCACAGCACACAGGCACCATGGCGCGATTTTAATCTCTTGGTGCTCGGTGTGACTATCACCGCATTTTGTTTTCAGCCGTCCTCAGGTCTGCACCACTCAGGTGGACCAGCACAGTGAGATCAAGAGTCCCCAGGAGCCAGACCCCCAGGTGCCCCTGACGGAGCCTGCGGTAACCAAGCCAAGCTCGTCATGGAGCCCAACGATTTCGACTCTGACGACAAGGAGCTGCTGAGCTGGGACATTAACGACATGAAGCTGCCGCAGGTATGTACTGCCAAGAGCGCTGCAGGGCGCCGGCTCCCTCTGCTGCGCCTGGAGGGTGGCTGGGGAAGGCGGCCGCTGCCCCAGCTCAGCCCAGGTCCCCGGAAGGGATTTGAAGTAGAAATGCAGACCCCGCGATCTGAGCAGCTCTTACCCCGCAGTTACAGACCAAGACAAAGACAGCGCTGCCTCCTCCTCTTTCCAAGCTGGCAGGGCCCACATGGCAGCCCCTGCCTCCCTGCAATGAGAAAACCCAATATTGTTTATTGGCCAGCAGACTGAATGTTATGTGACAAACACCTGTAATCCCAGCACTGGGGAGGCTGAGGCAGGAGGATTGCCTGATTTGTAGCTAGCCTGTGCTACATAGTGAGTTCACAGACAGCTTGAACTACATAGTGAGACTCTGTCTCGAGAAATAAATTACCCACAAGCCCCTCTACTACCTTATTGGCTACAGCAAGTGTTTTAAACTAACCTCTTATAGAATGTCTATCAGTGCCATATGCACACACTGGCTTTGTTTCTAAGTGAAGAGAGCTTTTCATTCCATATTTTCTTGGTCCACCTCTTTGAGGACTGATTTTCTTAGTGCTTTTCTTTCTTACGTCCCCCCTTTCTTTTTTTCCGGTACTAGGGATTGAACCCACGGCCTCAGGCCTGTTAGGCAAGTGCTGTACCGCAGAGCTATTTTCCCAGCCCTCTTTTTTTCTTTGTTTTTGGACAGGTTCTTGCTAAACTGCCCAGGCTAGCCTTGAACTTGTGATCCTCATGTCTCAGCCTGCTAAATAGCTAGGATTACAGTCATGCAATGCCATGCCTGGTGACTCTTTAACTCTTAATGTAATGTAAGGCACCGGTTGCCTAAAACTGGTTCTCCATGTATATTTTCCTGGTTCTTGTGGTCCTCTTGGTATTTGAAGATTTTTCAGTGGAAGTTGTTTTGAAAGGTGGCAGGGCAGACCAGGGCTAGAGGTCCCCAGCTCTAAGCAACACTGAAGCCCCTCTGCCCAGCCTGATCCTGGGGATGAGCAGTTTGAATCAAAAAAGCAGGAGAGGAAGGCTGGACAGTGCAGTCTTGGTTTGTAACAAGTCCAGATTTCCACTCTATCGAAGATCTGCTTTCAGTTCTGTTTATTGAGGTTTCCCTTGTAATCTGTCCTGTGAGGTCTTGTGGGAGTTGGGGACAGAAAGTGTGCCCCACTCTGTGTTCACTTAAAGGTTAAATGAATCCTGGCTAAGTGATGAAAAAATATTTTCAGGGATTTTTGTTGGTAGCTGTTCTCCCTTGGTATTAAAGATTACTGTAGCTGCTTTGCGGGAGCTTTGAAGTGCATCTGAACTAATCTACACCCAGACACCAAATTTCTGCCTATGACTGATTTCAAGATTGCAAACGCTCACCGCAAATAACAGCTGGACAGACACAAGGTCACAAGTTGAAGTTAGCAGATGCACAGAAGATGCCGCCACAATGTCACATTTTAGAGCAGGGTTTCAGTGGAGCCAAGAACCCTCTGAAATGACAGGCACTGCGGTGGATTGACGTGCACTTTTTTTTTCTGGGACAGAGGATCTGTATCAGTTATCAGATCCAAAACAAAGGAAGGGAAGACCTACTTCCCTGAGGGAAAGTCAGGACTCTTCCAAGCTCAGGTTCCAACCTGCACTTTCAAAAACAAAAGCATTCTCAGGTACCAAAGTCAGTAAACTGAGGGATTTATGGCAAAAATACATATTCTCATATACATTTTGGAAATGTATAATTTGTGGTTTATAGAAAAGATACCAAGAGAACCCAGGGAAATAGTAAGTGCCCTTCAACTTGTTAACTGCCAGGGAAATAACTAAAAATATGAATATCCCTTGTTTATTTTTCCTTTTTAATTTTTTTTTTTTTTATTCTGTGATACTGGGATTCAACTCAGGGCCTTCGCGCTGAGCTGTGTCACTGGCCCTTTTCTGTTTTTTATCTTGAGATAGAGTTGTTTGTTTGTTTGTTTGTTTGTTGAAACAGGGTCTCGCTATGTAGTTTAAGCTAGTCTTGAACACACTATGTAGCCCAGGCTGGCCCCAAACTTGGGGTGATCCCTCTGCCTCAGCCTCCCCAATGCTGAGATGACAAGCCTGCAGCATCACTCTCGGTTTGAGACAGGGTCTTGCGAAGTTGTTAAACTGCCCGGGCTGAACTTAAACCTGCTTTTCTCCTGCCTCAGCCCCAGGAGTCCTAGGATTATAGGTATGCATGATTGTGTGGGGCTGTACCCTAAGGTGTTCTGATAGGACGGAGTCCTCCAGCCAGCTCCAGAATCACATCCGGAATCAGTTAGAGCGAAGAAATCCAAGATCTCAAGGAGCAGTGGGGGTGACAGGTTTTCTGCTGTAGAAAGAACACAGGTGGGCCAGTGGGAGTGGCTTGCAGCTCAGGACCTGGGTGCCAGCCCACCGCCAAGTCCCAGCTCTGCCTCTCTGTATGTATAGAGCCCGCCAGAGCCCTCAGCCCCTCTGCAAGCCAGGGGTGCACATGAGGCCTCCCCGCTCCTCCTGGACCTGGCAGACGAGGACTCCCAAACGCCGGTCATGTGCCCAGCACGCATCATGACATGTGAGGACGGGGTCCGCTGCCCCTCCTCAGCCCATCTGGGCATTCAGAACTGTGGTTCAGAGGAACACGGATGATGCCTTGCTAGTACCCTGACTTCATCTAGTGATTAGTTTATGTTCCACATCTTAATTCTCACCATGAAAATTAACTTCTGTAAGCCACAAGCATATTTCTTTTCTGTTCACACTTTGAGCTTGAATCAGTAAATGATAATTTATTTGAGGGCAGACTGGGCATACAGCTCAGTGGCAAAGCATCTGCCTGGCAAGCTTGAGGCAGTGAGTTTGATTCCTGGAACCAATGGTTACCTGAATAGTAATATCCTGGTCCCAAAACGCCACATAGCTGGAGTAACTGTTGATAGCACTGACCGGAAACGTCTTGGTCAGAGCACGTAGGTGTTTCTGAGTGGCTGGAGGGGACCAGATGCTGTGGCAGGCTGAGGGATGCTGAGACCATCCTGCTGTGCCCACTTTCATGGAGAATCTCTTAATCTGTGGGGTTGGGGGGACAAGATCAGCACCCACAGAAACTATGGGCTTGTAGAAGACGTTAGGGGAGCTTGGAAGGGGGAGGTGTAACTCGGCATAGACGGCAGGGTGCACGGGCACAACCCACAATCAGCATAATGAAAGTGTCTTTTTCCTGGGCTGATGAAATCCACCGACCAGCCATGCTTCCCTGTCTCAACTCCCCTTGAGCTACATTTGCAGTTGGAAAGTTCACACATAATTGCTTTAGAGTTTGCTTGGTCCAAGCAGCAAGAATCGGTTATTGGTTTAGTCCAAGCTTCATTAAAAATGTGGATGGCATGGTGCCCAAGAGGGTCACAGTCTCTCTAATACTAATTTTAGTAATTAAGACAGACTTGTAAGAGATTTCTTCCTGCCTCCCTTCCTTTCTTCCTTCCTTTCTTCCTTCCTTCCTTCCTTCCTTCCTTCCTTCCTTTTCTCCTTCCCTCCCTTGAAAACCAGGAAATAAGTTTGGGAATATTGTCCTTGGTAGTCCCCATTTCATGGAAGGGGCATCCTCTAACTCAGCCCATTCTTCCCAGCAAAGAGCAGGGTCACTGCAATACCACAGCCAGCAAATACTCTGAATTATTTTGTGTCTAAATGCAGAACACTTTTTAGTCAAACCAAGGATCAAAGCCACACTAAACCACTAACTCACAGATTCCAAGGTTTAAGGACATTTTTTTTTTTTTTTTTTTGGCAGAGAAAACATTTTGTGGGATAAAATAGGAGAGTCAGGTACCAAGGGGCCACAAGCTGGATTAGTCCATTCCTGGATCATGATTTTAGCCAGCAATAAAATGCCCTCTTTCTGCAGAGGACGAGCTAGAGCCAGGCCCGTGTGAGCCCTTGCTGTTAACTCAGGTGGCAGCCAACTGTCATCAGATGTGTCGTGGCACTAGGGAACAACAGATAAATTAGATTCCAGAGTCCTTGTCAATTATTATCGGGTTGCATAATCAGGTCACATTTTTGGTCTGGCAGGACAGCCACGGCTTCACTGCACCATCTCTCCTGTGGCTGTCCTGTGCTTCAGGGTCACTGAACTTCTCTGGAACAACTCCACCTAGGGGGCTTCTGGGGTCACTGGGCCCCGCCTCAGGGGCCACACTTCTTCGGCTGCCCTGCGCTTGCGGTATTATGGGCGGCAGAGGTTCTCCTGATGTCCCCAGCAGGGGTCCTCTTAGGTGGGCAGGAAACAGAAACGCAAAATGAGAGGCAGCTGACGGTTGGGAATCTGGGTAACGGAACTGGGTTAGGGCTTTGGAACACAGGAGGAACTTTGTCCTAGTCCTGACTCCTTCATTCAGGCAAGAGGTGGCAGGTTAGTCTGAGGAGTCAATCTGAGCTGGAGCAAAAACAGTATGTCCAGATAAACGACAGTGGGAGTTCAGGTTCCCTGGGGCCCAGAAGCGAGCAATTCCTGAATAGCGCAGCTCAAAACACGCAGTAGCTCCTGTCCCTCTCTCTGATTCGCTTAAGGTGTGCTTGTATGCTGTTCTGTTTTTGGGGGGAATACTTAGTAATTGCTTTATATGACTACATTCCAAATGAAAAATCAATTTTAATATAATAACATAATGTAGATATTTTTGACATTTGCAGAATTTGATTTCAATTGATTAGTTTTATATAGAAGTCATCTCAAATTCTTATGACACCCCATTAGATTTCCAGGCATTAAGTTAAATTAAATGAAGGAACAGAAGAGCACTGTGTGATCGTAGAACAATTCAAAGGTTTTGAGTAAGTTAGAGAATTAAGTTCCCTATTTAACGATTATACACAGGTGCCATAGAAATTATCAACTTCTTAACCAGGAAGAAAAACAAAAAGTTACTCATGAAAAGTTAGAAATTAAAATAAACAAAGGTTCTAAAAACAAGAAAATATTCTATGGGGATTCACTAAACAAGATTAAGAAATGATTATTTTTTCTTTTTAAATTTTACCTCTTTGATGCCTTGGATTAAAAGGGCTTTCAGATTGCTATCCTTCCTTTGACACTTGGGGTCTTTACGTTATTGGGATCAGGCTTTTCTCTTAGTGTCTGTGTAAAAAGACAAGAAAGAGCCCACTCACTGGCAGGTCGATGGCCTGGCTATAAATCAAACAGCGAGGAGGAGAGTTTCATGGGATCACAGTTACTCCCAGCGAGTTTCTTGGTGCACACCAAGCACTCAGCACTGCGTGACCCGTAACTATCACGGGAAGGGACAGCCACAGAGATGGCGGCCTCTTCCACAGGCACGGAGTCTGCTTGGCCCGAGCATCTTGACACCGTTGCCAACAGAACCCTCCCCTTCTGCTGCATGAGAGCCCAGCTCCTGACCATCCTGAGGGGTTGCTAACCTTTAGGTCTTAAAAATATTCAAAGGAAACCAGACTCGGTCAAATATCGCATGTTTACTCTCATATGTGGAATCAAAAAAAGAGAAAAAAGGAGAGAGAGACGATAGGAAAGTGGAAGGGAGATAATTAGAGAGAAAGAAGGGGGAGACGGGTGAGAGTTGGGGGAAGGATAATTAAATAATTAAAGTGTCATACATAAGTGCAAACATGCCAAAATGAAGCTCATGTTTTGTATAACTAGTAAGCACTTATTATAACTAATATGCACTTTTTAAAAAGTTGTAAATGGCCTTTTATGTATTTATTTATTTGGTACTGGGGATTAAACTCAAGCTGTCACACTTACCAGGCAAGTGCTAGAACCACTTAGCTAAATCCCCGGCCCATACGCACTTTGTTAAAAACTGAAAAAAGCCAGTTTTTCTCTAAGTTCTGCTTGCTCCTCTGTTTCTCTTACCCTGATAACCTTACATTGGGTGGTGTATGCCTATCATCCCAGAACTCGGGAAGCTGAGGCAGGAGGGTTGCTGTGAGTTCAGGGCCAATCTGAGCTATGTCAAGATCCTGTCTCAAAAGGCCAAAAATAAAAACCAAAACAAAAGCCCCTCTATCACACTGGAATAATACAAATAATTCACATCCCCCAGACTTTTATAGTCCAAAGTATAAGAACACGTTACAGTGTTCTAGGCAGCATTTTATCATTTCTGAAGGCAAAATCCTGTGTGATGCATTCCATGGCCTTTCCGTGAGAGGCAGTGAGAGGCTCTGGTTTAGGCTTTAGTGAGAAGAAAGGAGAGAAGGAGGAGGCAGGTAGAGGAGGAGGAGGCCGCTGACGGGGCAGCTTCTCACCAGGCGTGGCGGGGAGAGAAAGGCCCACTCAGTTCCAGTCCTCACAGAAGCAACAGCAGCTGCCCCCTGCACCCCGGGTCTCCTTTGGACACCTCACTCTCTTGATTTACAAGGCATGATTGAAAAATATGGCGAATGCTTACGATAAAAAAATTATTGCAGTAAAAGATGCATTGCCGGTAGTTTCTCTTAATATCTTTCCCTTTGCCAATCCAGTCTCAACTTCTCTGCCACTTTATACAGCAGTGCTGGAAAAGCTGCTTTGTGAGGTCTTTATGATGGGTGGTTAAAAACAATAGGATGCCGCTGCCGAGCGTGACCCCAAGAAAGACAGGCTCCTAAACACACTGCGCCGTGTCCTCCCCATCCTACTCACTGGATCAGCACTGTGAGGCTTCTGGCTCTTCCCCAGAGTCACACTGATCGCAAAAAGCCCCTGTCTTCAGTTGATTCAGGACAGCAGGGCAGCCATCAGAGCGCAGCTAAGGACACTCAGGACGGGGGTGCTAGACCCGCTGCACAAAGCGGCTAGCGCAGTGGGGCGAGTGTGTCTTATCATGATGCATTCTTAAAATTTAAATATTCACTGTGTATTTTGATCACCGCTTGTCTGCACTTTCCCCTGTCTCTTCTTGGGTAACTTCATACTCTGGCATATTCTGAGCTGGAAGTCTAACTCAGTAAGTGCCCGTTCACCCCGACATTGATTTTTATGTTTCTCTCCTAGAATTTCTTGTCTTTCTTTTCTCATATTCTGCGCCATGCTGTCTTGTTGGGGAAACAATGGAGAGGTACCTTCTGGAATCTCCTACTCTGACCTCCGAGACTCTTTTGCATGAAAAATGTTCTTTCACCCTTGCCAGTCCCTGTAAGCCACAGGATGGACCCTGTGGCTCTGACTCCTGAGTCTACTCGGTGATGCTTTTTCTAAGAACTAGGCAGGGTCTGTCAAATGTGGCATCTGTCACTGGCTTGGGAACATGAGCCACATTGCCAGGTCTACCTGAGGCCCATCATCTGTGCCTGATGTTTATTTAGACCCCATGGAACACCAGGTGCTGTGTTGTGTACGTTATAGGACATCCTCTGGAAGTAGGGGAGTCATATTATCCTTGCTTTACAGAAACATAAGGCTGAGAAAACAAAGTAAGTTTTGCCATTAGAACTGTGTTCCTGACCTTTGTTATTATTTCATGCTGATCAAAAGCACAACATGAAATCTATCGTCTTAACTAATTTTAAGTGCATGGTCCATCCGGTAGGGCTACTGTACGCATGTCATTGTGCAGCCAATCTCTAGAACCACGCTCTCGCAAAAAACTGAAACTGTGTACCCACTGAGCAGCAGCCCTGGCCTCTGACTTTGCCGGAGAGTTTGGGGAGGCATCTGCGGGCAGAGAGTGATGCTGGTCCTAGCAAGAACGCAGAAGCGCTCCCTGAGTCCTCTGTCACATTTGGTGTAGGTGAATATGCACAGAAGGAAAAGGGAGAGGCTCTTCGTAGAGGAGAAGGTGGCTCTCGGGACCTTTCTGAATGGGTCTCTCCAGTCTCCTCACTGCCTGTCTCCAGGGGCTTTGCATCAATTCATGGGGCTCCCAGTGAGGTGGTAGCTAACTGTCCTGCCGTAGTTTGTGTAAGAGCACAACGATGATATTACTTCACCCTCCAAAAGTCCCCCTGAGAAATGGTCATTACTTTATCATTGCAGCCATGGCATTGCGTGAGCTGTGCTTTGAGATCCTAGCACCCCCGCTAAGTTGAGGCGAGGCTTTGCCAAAGGCGTCATGAGCCGTTTCTGATGGTCAGGGTGCCCTTCAGGACCAGGAGCTACTGACCATCACGTTTTCTGCCTCAAATTATGCAAATGCTGTTTGTGTTTCCGCCAGAATGTGAAGAAGACTGACTGGTTCCAGGAGTGGCCTGATTCCTATGTGAAGCACATCTACAGCTCAGAGGACAGGAGTGCACAGCGCCACCTGAGCAGCTGGGCCATGCGGAACACCAACAACCACAACTCCCGCATCCTCAAGAAGTCTTGCCTGGGCGTGGTGGTCTGTGGCCGAGATTGCTCCACCAAGGACGGGCGCAAGATCTACCTGCGGCCCGCCATCTGTGACAAAGCCCGACAGAAACAGCAGCGTGAGTGGGGTGTGGTGACACTGAGATGCATCCCAAGGCCTCTGCAAACCCGGCCAGTGGCGAGCAGGGCCGGTCCATCCTTTAGAGCTGCGGGACTGGCCGGCCCTGGGCCATCAGGGTCTGTCCCTGTGTCCTCCCATGTCTGAGCATCGGCCCGAGCACAGCCCCTGGTCAGACAGCGGCTCAGGCCCTCATTAAAGGGCAGAGGAGTCACGGGCACTGTGCGGACGCAGCAGTGGCCCGGATACAGTTAGGACAGAGGAGTTTGCTGTTCGTAGCGGCAGCGGTGAGGCTAAGTGTGCCAGCTCTGCTGGCCTCGCTTCCTGCTGGAAATGCCGTTCTTTCCTTTTTTTTCATCCTCACCAACTTGAAATGGGTGTAACAGGTGTACTCCATGTCCCCGGGGCCCCAAACCCGCTCCAGACCCCAAGTGACCTCACGTTCTTTCCTAGCTGTTTGTCTTCAGAACTGTGTCTCAGTTCAGCCCTGCTAACAAGCATCTTCACTTTGAAAATTCAGGGCTGTTCTGTCCATTGTGTGTGCCTTTGCCCCTTGCCCCTTGGTTCTAATCGAAAAATGGAATGAGGTTTTCCTCTTCTCTACAAAGATTCAAAGAGCAGTCAGTGGGGTGGGAGAGGTTTCTGCTCAGGAGAGCTCCTCACTGCCCGGGAGCTGCCCTGCGGTCTGCAGCTGCCGGCCAGGTCCCTGTGTGACAGCAGCGGTGGCACAGAGGCCAGGGCCGCTGCCCGGGTGACTCAGGGAGGCTGCTGTCACTGCCTGCTCCACCTCCTCCTCCTGGGGTGAGGCTGAGCCCCTGTGGTCACTCTCTCCTGCTCTTCCTCCGCAGGGAAATGCTGTCCCAACTGCAGCGGGCCTCTGAAGCTGATCCCCTGCCGAGGCCACGGCGGCTTCCCGGTCACCAACTTCTGGCGGCATGACGGACGCTTTATATTTTTCCAGGTTGGGTTCGTGTTGTTTATGGGCCTCTGCTTCTCCGTCCCTTGGAAAGTGTGCACAGAACCTCCTACAGAGGAGTATGAGCCACACAGACACATAGGAGACTCTGCACCCCCGCCCCGGCAGCAGTTCCCCTGGGGCACAAATGTCTGTGGCTCCTGAAGGCGTCAGTCTGTCCAACACCCCCCACCCCCACCCTCAGCTCTCACTTAGAGCCTCCCACACCCAAGCTGGGACACCAGCTCTGACTGGTTTTTCCTTCTTGGCAGTACTGGGATTGAACACAGGGCTTTCATACTGGTTGTATCCTTAACCATTTACATTTTTTTTGTTTTTAAATTTTTAACTTTTTGGCAGTCCTATTGAACTGAAGAGCCCCCACACCCCCTCCCTTTATAAAATAAAATTTGAGACAGAACCTTGCTGAGCCACTGAGTTGCCCAGGTTGGGCTCAAATTTGCAATTTTCCTGCCTCAGCCTCCCAAGTGCTGTGGTTACAGGTGTACATTACACCCACCTCAGCTCTGATTTTAATACCACTGCGAAGTCTGATGAGTTGCTTTCATCCCTGAAGCTCCCATTTTCTGTAAAATATGAGAAGTGACATAATCTGTAGTAAAGGAAGGGCTTTCTGATGTCAGGTCGCCTGGGTTCAAATCACTGCAGTACTGGCAAACCAGCTCTGCCCACAAAGGAAAAAAGGCCTCATGGGGAGCTTTTGCCAGTTCCTGTGCTTTCTAAACAGCTCCAGTGGGGGGGTCTCAGCCCTCAGCTTCCTCAGGGGTCACCCAGGCAGTGTAGCCTCTCTGTGCCTCGGTTTCTTACCCTATAAACCAGGGTAACAGTGTGCACCCTCAAGGTCGCGTGCACCGAAGCCAGGCTTTGTAGTGTCCCACATGGGCTACAGAAGCAGGGCAGGCGAGGGCAGCGTGAGAAGAAGTCCAGTGACAGGCAGGCGGCAGGTGGGAGAGGGGCAGCTTGGCATAGGCATGGAAGGTTCCTCTAGGCGGCTGCATGCTGCCCAGTCGTGTGGCAGCCCACGAGGGTCATCAGTCACTCACTCTGCTTCCTGTTTGCTTCTTCATCTTCCTTTAGTCAAAGGGACAGCATGATCACCCGAGGCCAGAGACCAAGTTAGAAGCCGAGGCCAGGAGAGCAGTGAAGAAAGTCCATGCGGTGCCTCCCTCCGTCTCCATCAAGCGGAAGGGGAGCCCGGAGACCAAGGTAACTGTCCCACGTGCTCACACCAGGCAGCGACTTGCCACCTTGCTGGAGGGCTGCTCGATCGCCAGGTCCTGTACGGCAGACGAAAGCCAAAATCCGGGTTTTAGCAGGTTCGCCCACAGAATGCCCACCAAGGACAGGGACTCTCAGGTTTGTCTCTTCATCCGTGCCATCGCTGTAGCAGGCCTGTCAACCATAAATTCTGTAGAACTATAGAATCACCTTCCCTAATGTAGTTAAAAAAGAGAAACTTGAATTGGTCCCCAGCCTCTGTTTGGCATTCTACATTTTGATTCTAACAGAAACAAAATCAGTTGAAATGCTCTGAACAAAACATGAGCTTCATGAGTTTTTTCTCCAACAAAGTTGCTATGCATCTCCAAAAGAGATCGTTGTCTTAGCTGATGGCCCAGGGTGGGACACACAGTCCTGGGAGGACAGTGGCTCAGGGGAGTGGTTCTGGTTGCTAGCAGCTGCTCCCGCAGACCGATGCTTCGGAGCTCTGCATTTCTCTTGAGAACACAGATGGAGCTGGGCCATCCCTGGAACTCTGAATGTATCTTACAGAAATGCAGCTTAAGTCTGCCATAAGGAAATGCAACCTTCAAATGCCAGTGTCTGGTCCCCTGTCCTTGGTCCTTGCTATAGGATGAGCCAAGAGCATTTCTTCCCACTCCCATCTTTGGTCACAGCTCTTTCTCTTGCCCTAAAAAACTATTCTCTTATTAGCCAATAGTTTTACATAAACAAGAGCATAACGTAATTCTCTACTAGAATTCTCTACTTTTCTTTTATTAACTGGAGAACGGTACTTCCCACATTTATATAAATGCAGTGGGTGCTTCAGTTTATGAACATGTTTGCTCGTGAACAATTTGGTTTGCAAACAGTTTGGTTTGCAAAGAGAAACATTTGGCAAAAAAAAATTTGTTTTGTTTGCAAACTCCACAGGGAGTGAGAAACGTGGCTGTGGCCTTTTCTAAAATCGTAGCACAAATCAAGCTTGTGAACCGAGGTGCTACTGTAAGTGGACCATTTTATGTTCTAGATGGCCTGCTTGTAATTCAACAGACTTCCTATCAGTTCAGAGAAAATTCTTTAAAGAAAAAACGAAACCCTGATTTTTCAGAGTCCAACCAATATAAAAAAAATAGAAAAGAAAAGAGAGGGAGTGAGAGGGAAGAAGGGAGAGAAATGCAGAGAGAGGAAAGCATTCCGAGACCCGTCCTGAGTGTAATACAAATCTCTGAAGCTGTATTTTGGTTTACATAAAGTGCTCCTTTGAAGTTTCCCAGAAAGGAGTCGGGATATCAGATTTGCATCTGTGCGCAAACATCTCACATGTGCTCGCCGTGGGAACCAGCTCTCGCTGGTGAAAGCTGTGAGAGGAGGTGGAAACGGCGTCCACTTCTCCAGCACCTCGTGGTGGGGCAGAGTGGCCGTGTGCCAGGGTTCGGAGCGTGCCAGGAATGAGGAAAGTCCCATGGAGCTTCCGCTAGTGCAGTGCAGAGTACTGGCGGGTGCCTGTGGAGTTGTACAGCTTTGCTTAACTTATTAACATGACCATGTCACTTTCCTTTGCAGTCTCCTTCAACTAAAAGGCCAAATCAAGGAAGTTTACCTTTAACTTGGTCATTCCAGGAAGGCGTCCATTTGCCCACTAGTCACAGTGGACATTTAATGGCTAACGCTGCCCAGCAGAACCCTCTGAATGATTGCTTGCCCTTTCCCAAGAGCTACGGGCCGGGAGGACCCATGGACACCACAGATCTGGCGAGCCTGCCGTCCACCTTGGACTCCGCTAAGCTCTATGAAAAGTGCAAGCTGTCTGACAGTCGGATCCACAGCAGCGGAGACCTGTTTCCGCCTCCCGCACCTGGAGTCTACACAGATTATGACGACCTGCAAGCGTGGAGTAAAGCCTCCGCGCTGGGGAGAAATTCTCTCACTGACAGCTGTTGCCCCAGTTACCCTTTCCCTCTGACCAACTGGCCTTGCGACTTCTTTCCTTCCCAGAACTCTTTGGAGACTTTACCCCCGCAGATTCCATTGGAGCCACCTGCATCCAAACCCAGCTGCCACCCTCTGTGGCCAAATCCAGGAAGTGATGTTTATGAAGAGAAAATACCTGTAGATTTCAACAGCTACGTGCCCTCGCTCACATACCCTGCTCCGCAGGAAGACCCCTTCCTGCTCACATACACGGCTCATCCCCACCAGCAGTACTCACTGCCGGGCAAGAGCAGCCGATGGGAGTTTGATGAAGAGGTGACGTGCATGAGTTTGGATCACTGCAACAGCGAAATGCTTCTAAACCTCTGCCCTTTGAGATGACTCTGAGCCTCCTCATACTGCCCCCAAGAAGCTACTTTTGGAAATGTCTGGAAGAATTTCTTGTTTTCCAAATATAACTGCAGGTAAATGGGACTCAACAAGCAATAGGCGAGACTTCTTTGCTCCTGCAAGAAACTTTTGTGCCTCTTAACACTCTCCTCCTGGGCCAGGAACAGACAGTCATCCAATGTGCTGTGTCAAATGCTCGCTGGTTTCCCTTCTGCAGAGTCTCAGTTGGTTATGTATTGGGTTCTCATTGTCCTAACACGTATCACATGGACAGAGATGGGCAAAGCCCATCTCCTTAGGACTCATCTGTGCCTTCTTGGGAACTGAAAATGAGGGGTCAGATCCTCTTTGCTATTTTCTTGTCGGTGAGACATAATTCCAACACCCACAATTTAAGGGAGAGGAGGCTTGCTTTGGCTCACATTGTGATCCATAGTAAGCCTGCTCTGAGAAAGAAATATTATGACAGAAGGGCATTGAGGAGGAGAAGCTGCCCGTGTCATCATGTGGGAGAAGCAGAGAGAATCAAGTGAGGAATCAGGGTGAGAGCTGCACCCTCCTCAGTCAGTGAAAACCTCTTCCAATGAGACTGTACCTCTTAATAGCAAGTCAGCTGTAATATCCCCAAAGCCTCATGTAAGATGAGAACATCTAGATATGATCCATAACATTCTGCTCCTGCTCTCCTTAGGTAAAAGGCGTTAAGTTCGTCTCAAGGGTTAAAAGTCTTAACAGATTTAGCATCGCTGAAAGGTCGAAAGTCTCCTCTGAGACTTAAAGCAAATGCGTAGCTGTGAACCCCTGTAAATATTAGAAGTTAAATGCTTCCAACATACTATGGCATAGGATAAATATTCCCATTCCGAAAAAGGAGGAACAGAGGGCTAGAAACCAGTAGAACCAAAGCAAGATCGAAACCCAGTGAGGCAAGCATTAAACCCCACCCAGTAGCTCCAAGTCCAGCACCTGGGGCAAGTTGTAGCAATGGGATGTGAAAGCCAAAGGCCATGGATGACACCATCCCTGAGGCACTGCTGCTGGTGGTAGCTCTCATGGCTTTTCCACTGAGCTGGCTTTGCTAACTCCTGGCAGCTTCCCTTAGCAGTTAGCCACATTCTCAGCTTCTCCAAACTTATGGGGTCTCCTCTGTACCTTCAGCTTCATACGCATAACTTTATACGCTGCCATCTCAGGGACACAGTGCCTGGCCCCCGGGGCCTTCTTTTGCAATCTGGATGGAAGCTTTGCTGACCTCACAGTTCTTGCATTCTTCATGCTCATAAAATCTAAAACCACATGGACAATGCTAAGGTCTGCGGCCAGCTAGAATAGTAGCCAAGCCCACTTGAATTATGATTACACAAGTCTCTGTGTGCCTGAGTGGCTTAACGATAGTAGCCTGGTCCCAGGCATCCAGTCACTTAGGTGGCCATTCTGGAGCATCATTAGCTGGGACTCTCTGAACAAAGTAAAGTCTTTCATTTTTGCAATTTTGAGCCATGAGAGAGGCCTTGTCTGTTCCTCACATGCCCTCTGCCCACTTTATTGTCCTCCTGTAAAGTTCTTGGCTTCTCTCTTTTTATGTTTATTAGAACATGTTCAGTAATGCAGTTTATGATGATCTCAGGGAGTGGATACATGAACATAGCACAACTTGCTTATTTTAATCCCTTCCCCTCCCCTCTCCCATTCCTCCTTCCTCCTCTAATTCTCCTTTCCCCACTTTCTTTCTTGTTAATATTATTACTCTTATGTTTATGACATATACTGTTTACAGTCATTGAAGTAACGAGGTTCTTGTACATGGTATAACCTTATTCGGCTTATTTCCCCTCCCCCTTGTCCCTTCCCCTTAGTGTCTGGGGCCCCTTCCCATTTATAAGAAATCCATATGATTGTCCGCCTCTATCCGTCCTTTATTATTCTCTTTGTTTGTACTTTGCCTTAGTCCAATGAGAGATACCATACAGTATTTAAGCTGTTGTGTCTGGTTTATTTCACTTAACTTTATGTTTTCCAGGTGCATCCATTTTCCAACAAATGTCTCAAATTTGTCCTTTATAGCTGAGTAGGATTACATTATATATAAATTCCACACTTTATCCATTCATCCATTGGGGGTATGCAGGCTGCTTCCAGGATTTAGCTATTATGAATTGTGCTGCTATAAACATTGGCATATATATGTATGTGTTAAGCTCTTTGACGAACTGGCTTCTTTTTAATGCTAATCTCAGCAACAAAGCTCTTCTCTATCTTTTCAGGAATTTCTTTCCTGCAAAAGTGAAAAAATTTTAAGTGGGCATTTTGCTTCTGATTCTCAATATTAAACAGCAAGCAGGGTCCATGCTATAGCTTCAACATTGGTCTGCTTTGAAATTTCCTCTTCCAGATTAATTAGTCCACTGCCCATAATCTCAGTCTCCTGCAAATTCTCAGGACATGAGCAAAATGTAGACAAGCTTTCCACACAGTATATCTGGAGCCCAATTGCCAATGGAGTCTGTATTCACAGCAGAAACCTCCCAAGTTTGGTCATTACTATTTGTCTTTTCATCAGCGTTCGAGTCCTCTGAGCTCCAACTAAAATCTGCTACCACACTTGGCTTACAGAATTTTAGGCAGCTTCTCCAGTTAGTACTTCCAAACCTTTCCAAACTCCTCTTGCAAACAAGTTCTACAGGCTTTTGAATCACATGGTCAAGCAGTGTCGCAGTAATGAACCCCACTCCTGGTACCAAACTGTATCTTGGTTACTTTCTTTTTGCTGAAACAAAACACCCAGTGCCCGTAACTTAAGAGAGAAGTCTATTTTGGCTCATGTTTCAGTCCATAGTCAGCTGGCTCCAAGGCAGGATAATTGGGAGAAGGCATGAAGCAGAGTCAAAGGAGTTACCGAAAGGAGAGAGATACCTTCTCTGGTCATACCCTCAGTGCATCACCACTTCTGGCCGAGCTGCGCCTCTTAATAGCAAGACAGCTGCACTGCTAGAGTCCAGCCACCACCCCAGTTACCCCACATTTATATGAAGCTTTGGAGAGACATCTAGATATAAACCATAATACAGACATCAAGGTTGGAAGAGCTCTAGGGTATAGAGAACTGAGTATACCACCACTCAGGTGTTTGATACTTTGCCTAGTGACACAACTCTATGAGATATGTATTTTCTCACTGATTTCTAAGTGTTGTCAAGATGGGAAACATGGCTTAGTTCTATTTCATAAAGATAAAAAGTAGCAAACTTAAGGGGCCACGTGAAGAGAATTCTAGTGACCTCAATTATCCTTTTCTGTCTTCCTCACTGAAAAACCTTCATCCATAAGGGCTTATGTTTGCCCCCTTTATCTTTAGAAAGTCCAGCTCATTGCCCTCGATGCCAGGTTCATGTTGGTGAGAAATATTTGCTTAGAAAAGCTTTAATGGGGGCTGGAGTATAGCTCAATGGGGAAACCAATGGGTACAATTCTTAGCACCAAAGACAAAACAAAAGGAACCCCAAAAAGCCTGAGGTTAATGTGCCCATGGTCAGAAGGTATTTCAATGCCAGTTCCTTTTCTTTGCTGAGATATTTTATAAGGACCTAGACATAAAAATTTGGAAAAAATCATTAAATAAACAAGTGTTCTAAAAAATAAATTTCTTTTTTCTTTGTTGGATTGATAACAGAGGAACATGACATAAAATTTAAAAGTAATACAGAAATCTCTTGTTTCTGGTCTCCTTGCAATGCTGATCAGTTCTTCTAGAAATTAAGCAGTTTCTCTACATATATACATATATATTATGGGATATTCTATAGTATATGAAATATGAAATGTATGTGTGTATAGAGAATGTGCTAGTAAAATATGAACCGGTATGGTGGCACACACCTATAATCCCAGTACTTAAGGGGACCAAGACTCTAGGTGTGGCCTAGACCAGCTTTAAACTCACAACGATCCTCCTGTCCCCGTCTCCCAGGGCTGGGATTCCAGGCGTGTGCCTCTGCACCTGCCCTTACATTTTTGCTGTCTTTCTAGGCACTACTAAGCAATAGTTTGGTTTTGCCATTTTTAGGGAAACCTAATAAAATCTAGATTATGATATTGTGAAAAATTACTGAAGTACAGTATCCAAGCACACGGATCATGCGCATAGCTCAGTGAACTGTCTAAGAACACCTGGGTACTAGGGCCTCACCAGTGTTCTGGAGCCAGCCTGCTTCCCAGAGCAGAGACGGAGGGGAGGCAGCACAGCTCCCTGCTAAGAATGGCTTTCGGTGGCGCTGGCTGCACTGAGCATATGGAGCTCCAGCGGGACCCTGGGGCTGCCTGGGCTGCGGGCTCTGGCCAGGAGTCACGGGACAGCCTACAGAGCTGTGACTGAGGAAACCGGGCTTCTCCTGGGCTTCCACCGGTTGGAGGCTGTCTGGGTATTTCAAACAATTTGTCTTCACTAGGCTGTCTTCACATTTCTAGCCAAACCTTCCTTCCCTCTAAGAAACATGCCTTTGACAGTTATCAAGGCAAGAACATGCGTGTAGTTTGAAGAGTTAAACGGGCCCACTGTACACATGACCATTTCACATGGTGAACACCACCCCAGTCAAGACACAGCGTGGCCGGTGCCACGGAAGGTTCTGTGGTGCTCCTTCCCCGCCCACCCCTACTTTAGTGACAGAACCCTTTAGAGCTTTCAGTGATATAAACGGCCTGGTGTCCATATGCCATGGCTTGCCACCACTGCCATAACTTGGCTCCCAGTTTCGCACTTCCTGAAATGTCATATGAATGACTTCCTAACGTCTTTTTGCTTGTTTTTGTTTTGGTTTTTGAGACGGGATCTTGCTGTGTAGTTCGAGTTGAACTCACTATGTAACCTTGAACTTATTATGGTTTTGAATTTGCAGGCGTGCTCCTGCCTCAGCCTCCCAAGTTCTGGGATTACAGCTGTGTGCTCCCACTCCCAGCCCTTTGAGCTTTTGTATCTGGTTTCTTTCACCCATCACAATGCTTCCGAGGGGTCTGCCCATGTCGCTGCATTCTGGGTGCTTCATCCCTTTTCTCCATCGTGTGGATACACACCCCACGTTAGCCCTGTGTTGGTCCAGAGAAATTCGGTTGTCTTCAGTTTTGCCCATTATGAATAAAAATGCTATAAATATTCACAAACCACTTGATGTTCACATGGTATCATTTCTCTTGGCTGCATCCTTAGGAGTGAAACGGCATCCTTTGTTAAGCACAAGTTTTAAATTTAGCAGAAACTGCCGAGTTGTGTGACTACTCAGTAAGATTTAGCAGCCCTGTGTCAGCAGCGAGAGATCCTTCTTCTTCTTCTTCTTCTTCTTCTTCTTCTTCTTCTTCTTCTTCTTCTTCTTCTTCTTCTTCTTCTTCTTCTTCTTCTTTTTCTCCTCCTCCTCCTCCTCCTCCTCCTCCTCCTCCTCCTCTTTTCTTCTTCTTCTTCCTCTTCTTCTAATCTTTTTGAGGCAGTCTCACTATGCAGTTCAGGCTGTCGTTAAGCTCACATTTGGTAGCCCAGACTGGAGCTCACAGAAGTCCTCTTGCCTCAGCCTCCCAAGTGCTGGGATTAGAGACGTGTGCCACCACACCCAGCTCCCACTGCTTCCTGTCCTGGTTTTTAAATCCTTAGCCATCCCATCCATTCCCATGAAGTCTCACTGAGGTCTTTATCTGCATTTCCCTTGTGACTAACAAGGCTGGACATCTCTGTGTGTTGCCACCTGTATATCCTGATGAACTGTGCATTCAAAACTTTGCCTAATTTGTTGGATTTTCAGAAAAGAGTCTAAGAGCCAGGAGGGATGGTGTATGACTGTAATGTCGGAGGCTGAGGCAGGAGGATGAAAAGCTCAAACCCAGCCTGGGAAACTTACAGATTTAGCAATGCTCACAATAAAAATAAAAGAAGATTAAGGATGTATCCCAGTGGGGCTGGAGATTTAGCTCAGTGGCATAAGCACCTGCCTTGCAAGCAGGCAGTCATGAGTTCAATCCCTGGTACCAATAAAAACGAAAAAGACCAAAAAAAAAAAAAAAAAAAGGATGCAAAGACCCCGAATTCAGCTCCAGTACTAATGAAAAAAACAACAAAAAAAGAATAGTTCTAAAATTACCCATTCAGGCTTTAAATCTTTTAGATAAGGGTCCATCATCAAATACATGTTTTGCAAATAATTTTCCCACTTATTGTGTCCTAGCTAACCCAAAGCCAGGAAGATTTCTTCTATATTTTCTTTCATAATTTTTATATTTTAAGCTGTTACAGTTGGGTCAGTGAGCAATTTCTGTTAGTTTTTTGTATATGGTATGATATTATCCTGCATGTGGACATTAAGTTATTTCAGAATGGGAACCAGCGCCATGTGTGGGTCACTGATGGACTGGAACAGACAGACCTCAGCCCTTTCCGATGAGGGGGCCTGCAAATAAGAAATACCAACCTCGAACTGAAAACATCATACCACTGGGATATATGTGCACCTATGTTTATAGCAGCACAATTTGTAATAGCCAGATCTTGGAAACAACCTAAGTGTCCATTAACTGAGGAATGGATAAAAAAGTTGTGGTATTTTTATACAATGGAGTTCTACTCAGCTATAAAGAATAATCACATTGAGATATTTATAAATAAATGGGCGCAGCTTGAGACCATACTCATAAGCGAAATAAATCAAACTCACATGTATAAATACCGAATAGTTTCCCTAGTGTAAGAAGTGGTAAGAATACATAAAAGTATGTGGATTCCCCATTATATTGTTTTGAAGCCTTATAATGTTTTCATTTATTAATTGGAGTGGTTTTATTCTGGGGTGTTTGATTTTATTGTCTCTGATGGTATGAACAGCTATTTTGAAGAAAACAAGACATTAGAATAGCCAGT